AACTAAGCAAATGTGCATTGCACGTTGCTTAAACCTAGTATGAAATAATAAGTATACATTGCCATTATTTTATCGACGTGTATCTTAAATAATTGAAATACACTATTTAACTGGAATCGGATATGGATAAATAATACACATGTCGATTAAATAGTGGCAGGGGATATTGAGCTCCATCTAGGGTACTAGAAATCATTTTTGCTTATTTTTTGAAAAATCCAACGATTTTCCCATTTTCTCTTAAATAAATCTAAAAATATCAAATTCCCTTCACACCGTATCTCCGATTCACCCATCCGATTGACAAATAAAGTATCCGTTGCAAGTTAGGCAACTAGGGATGGGTTAAAAATTCGAAAGGTTATTGAATTTTGTACAATGTTTTTTAATGACTATTAAATTTTAAAAGCTTCTCGAATGTTCACTGAACTTATCAAATTCGTTATCTTCTTGATTATTAAATTTTATAAGTTTTTCGGATGATCATCGAATTTGTCACGTCATCATTTCATCAATCACTCGATATTTTGTAGTTACAGAATTCGGTAGATTCGCTGACGTGACAAATGAAATTGCTAACATGACAATTAATGGGGAAAAAAGCAAAGCAAAATAATATTTAATAAAAAATACGGATAAACAAAAGAAAACAGACAAATGTTAAAATTCAATTATTTTCTATAAGCTCTTTTAATATATAGAAGCACTTTTTTTACTGATTTATGATCAACTAACAACAATAATATGTCATGTTTACATTTTTGTTTGCCTCGTCAGGGAGTACGTTTTAAAGTTTAATCGTCAATGAGATGATGATTGATAAGTTTTTTAAAGTTTAAGGGTCAATGGGATAACAATTTAATGAGTTCGATGACAATTTAAAAAACTTTTAAAATATAATGGCCAATAAAAATATTGTATACAACGTTTAATGGCCATATAGATTTTTATCCCACTAGGGAGCAAATAAAGTATAATTGTTGCAATTAATATTAATTTTTTTGCGACCTATTTTCATCATAACCTCAAAATGAGGTAATAAATAGTAATTTGATAATCTTATCATATGTCATGATCACGGCAAGGTCCGACATACATTAAGCCCCTGTTTAACAATTATTATTTAATTTTTACTCATTTTTAACTACACATTTACACAATAAAATATTTTATACGTAAATTCAAAAAAAATTCATACATTTTAACCACACGTTCTTTGAAAAATAATTAGGGAATATTTCATAATTAAGAGGTTAAGTTTTACCAATTTCAAATTTAAGAAATTATGTTTAAAATTTCAAATTTCAGAGTTTTTTAAATTTTATTTATAAATAAATAAATTAAACATATATTTTATTAATTAAATATGTTAAGGTCACAATTCCATATAATTGATCACAAA